TTATTCTATCATATTAAATAAAAAAAATATTACATTATACATACATGTACATAAAAATGAAATTATCGCGATGAAAAGAGATTGGTAATATTATATTATTTATCTTTGTTCTTTTCAAAGCAATTATTCGTTTGTGGAATTATGTGCACGTAATATCTGTACAATGAAACGCGTATGTTGAAATACGAGTCGAAATAACGGGTCACCATCGATCTCCTCTTTGACATTTCTTCCTGAAAGAGAGATTAAACGAGAGCTACATTTTCCTAGAATCTTTTTGACCCTCTTACATTACAAAGGCTTTACCGCTTATATTTCAGCTTAGCCGATATTTTCAAGATATTGGAACTTTGGAACATATTTACATTTATAGTGGATATTCGATATTACAATTATTATGGTACAGTTGAACGCACAAAAGCGTGTAACTTCTGTTCCTTATCTTAGATTTTCACGATACAATTTAAAAAAAAAAGTCCTATTGATCGATATACAATATGCGCGTATAGTTATGCGTAATGATCTCTTTTCCCGGCTGCTAAAGCGATACTTTATGTCGCACGTGTACTTACTACACGCATCGTGACACGTAGGCGCGTTGCAGGCAGGACAACGAGAAAACATTTCTAAACATAGTCGGGACAAACCCAGCATTCCCAGCATCCGTCGTCGACTGAAGAAAAAAAAAGGGAAAAGTCAAATGTGCAAATCGAGAAATGCGAGTGCTCTAAGGGATGCGCGAGGCAGGGAGCTACTCCGCGAGGAAACCGCGCAGTTTTGTCTATACTTAGCTTAAGCTGCTAATCCATAGGGACATCGAGTGTCAAATATTTCTTCTACGTGTCGCGCGAGATTATGGGGACGAGAACTGATGGTAATTTCTCGAGCGACGGGTTACATCGAATTACATCTAACAATATAACGTTCGCACATTTTTATTTTTCCGACGTCAGTTTGAAAAGGGAAAAAAAAACAATATCGCTCGACGTAGAAATATTATAGGTCAGGGAGGACGATCGAATTATCCGTACGGAGAGGAAACCTTGTTGGATAAAGCTGGCCTTGGATTTTTTCCCCTTTTTGTAAATGTAATATATTGCGGCGCGCGCGCTCCGTATATGTGCTACCGCGGTTGATCGTGAATAGTCCTCCTACACTTTTCGCACACGACGATCGCCTATTTAGATACATCCCCATTGTGCGTGTGATACAGGCGACGTGTCAGAACGTCATGCTCCAAAGCAGGAAACCGCGGAATACGCTAGATACGTCGACGTCCGCGGTCTGTTCCACGGGAATGTGTGTCGTGTACGTACATGCACGTTCACACGTATATCCACGTATTCGTGACGCGATGACGAAATATTGTTCTCGCGATTAAAGCCGGGGGGATTTTCGATAGAACGAACGCGCTCTTTAGTATTTGCAAGATAAATCGTTGACGGATTATCTAGCGCCATTTTTCGTCCACTCGACACCGACAGATATCATTCTGTTCGAGACATTTTAACGTTCCAACGTTATTCCGCTCTATTTATCGAAATTCGCAGCCAAATTTTTTCGTGTTTTTTTTTTTGCGCACGGTTTACTATGATTTCGAATTTCGGATTCCGCGCAGTTTCTTCGATTGGCGCGATGATTCATCCCGTCAAACGGGAATTCGCGATGCAAAGCCCGTGAGCAATTTAATTAAAACATTTGTTTTAATTAACGGCCAAGCTGCCTTTGACTGCAATTGCAGACCGATTTATCTCCGGCGTTGCTGCTAATAAAATAAATTATTGATCCACAAGAACGAACGTAGCCGGAAACGAGTCTGGGAAATTGAAAGAGAAATTTCTGGAGTACCCAAAAATTAATTTGTTCAGTATTAGTGTTCCTGTTTCTGTTGTTATTTCTATTTTTGTTAATCAGTACTTAACAAATCATCGAGCAATAGATTCACGCCATATTCTTGTGATAACCGCACGGTTTAATTAATGGTATTTTGATCCCGTTAATTGACTAAATGATTACCAGGATTAGACATTGTAGTCATCGACAAGTTAACGCCGCCCGTTTTGTGCGATCGGATTCATTAAAATAGTAAATCAGCAGCCAATGCGGTAATGCGGTAATATGTCACATTGATACCAATTAGAAGCTTTATTCCGGTAATAAACAGACATAAAAAGAGGCTTATCTGTATTGCTTTATCAATATTAATCGACAGATTATTAGATTAAAATTTAAATCTTTATCTGAAACGTGTTTTATGTTTTATTTATATTTGCAACTTCCACTCGTTTGGATATCAATTGATCAATAACAGTTCATAAAATTGCGGCTTACGAATTATCAATCATGAATTAAAATTGCAATTTTGATGGATTCATTTATCCTATATAATAAATGCGAAGATTATTTTTGCATGCTTGTAGAATTGAAATCTGTATTTAAAAAAAAATTGTTCTCGAGCCTTGTTCGATGCATTTTACATGATAAAGTAGAGTCAAATACGACTGAACGTTTCTGAAGGAGAAGACTCGCCCTATGTAAATTTTTGGGCTTTGTCATGATGTTTCTGGTACTGACATTGCAGTCAAAACCTGTGGGGGTCAGAGAGAATTAAGTAACGCCACCCAGCTGTGAGCATTAAGAAACGGCTTCTCTCGTATCAGCTTTGGGGCTTCCGATCAGTTTGACATGTCGAGCATGCTCGATAGGTTCCACTCTGACAACGTAACTTTTCGCTGTCAGATAAGACTCAATATAATGGACGTGCCAATCTTCTCCATTTATTGCGTAAACAATTTTTTTTCTTTTAACATTAATCTACTACTACTTAATCAATTAAAGATTTGACTGCTTAAAAGCAGTAACAGCAGAAACACATAGAAAGCTTAATGGAATGTAACTGATCAATCAATTAATGAGTTTTCGTTTTGGCGATCTGTCCATGTTGACATAATTCATATTTCGCACATATTTCGAGCGTAATGTCGCGAAAATGCGATATACATTTCGTTAGTCGAGCGGCTAATAATAGCGCCCACGTTTACTGGAAAGTATGCAACACGTATTTACTTATTGCGGGATAAAATTGGAGGCAGCGAGGAAGCCGCGCGGAATTCGCACCGGCTCTAACGCCTTCTGCTCGTTTCTTCTCCTTTTTCCTTCTTTTTCGTTAATTTCCTCCGGCTCCTCTCTATCCTCGGCATTGATTGATACTACGTCGTTGCCAGGCAACGTCTCGAACCAGACTTGTCTGTGTACAGTACACGCCGGTATAGAATTACGCGAGAGAGAGAGAGAGAGAGAGTCCGAACTCCCTTGGCAACGAAGTTACGTTCCATTGTGCTGCATCATCAATTCTTTAATTCCATACGAGATGCCGAGTGGAATTTTTTCAACACTTCCGCCTGCGGAAGGAGGTCTAAGAAAAGCCTCGCACTTGGATTGAATCGTGAAATATTGAGCGATAAAATCAATTTACAGAAATTGCAGAAAATTAATCCTAGAGATGTAGACGCTTTTACACTAATATCTTGTAATTTAATAAACATGTTTAACGTATTCAATATATATTTTTTATAAAGCATACTGATATAATAATTATATTAAGAATAACTTCTTTTATTTCTAACTTTTTAAATTTCTTTTTGCCGTTTAATTCCTTTATTATTTTAAAATTGATCTGAAAGGAATGTCGAGAGAGGGCGTCGGAATTTTTTTGCACAATGTTAAAAGTAGAGTATCTCTGCGTTAAAGTTGGCAATGGAGGGTGGGTACAGGATGTGCGACGATCGATTGCCAGCTGGTAAGGAACCACGTGACGGGGTGCGGTGTTGGTGACGTCATAAAACGACCGCCCCAAGCAACCCCTCATGACAAACTGCGACTGCTGATTCATTCATCCTAATTATTCAATTAAGTTTTGAGATGCACTTTCTCTTTTCTTCTCTTACATTAACTGTGCGTAATGTAATTCGTAATTTATCTTTCATATTCGTATAGTAATTTAAAATTCTAAGCAAAGCATTTATTAGCATTTTAATTATGTTGATAAATTATAAATAAACAATTGTGCCACCTTTACCCGTTATTGTGTTAATAATTTTATCTCATAATATAAATTTTTCTCTTTGAGCTGCCTGAAATAATTAATTAATTTTAATACAAATGGCTTTCATTTAATTTTAAACGTAACATGAATTTATCTAATTATAATTGTAAATCAGCACGAACATGATACATGAACATATATTATTTCTCTTATCTATTTCAATTAGCGTCAGGTACACTTTATGTTTGTTGACAAACATCAAAGAAAATTGTGTTGTGCTTATAATGCGATATCATAATTTATTTTTCTCATCAATCAACCTATAACTGGTTTTGACAGTCTCTAATAGCTTAACCTTAACCTTACATCACTCTCGGTGGCTGAACTACCCCTTGTTCTATGAAGCCAAACCGCTGCAGTCTTGCACATTTATACGCAGTTATGACCTACTACCTCATCATACTATTGACCTATAAACGTCATATACACTCGGGCAATATTTAAAAAAGCTTTAAGCAATATTTAAAATATCTTTCTTGAGCAACGTTTAAAAAGTCTTTTTTAGAAAAATTTTAGAGCTGAATGACAATCGTAGTCCTCAGATTACGTACTTTCCCCGTTGTTTATTTTCGAGATATATTATAGATATCCGCTTGGAGCGATTTCGGAGAGCTGAACTTCTCTAGCTTAACGTGCATATATAGCGATGATAAAAACAAGAACAACCTACTTTCCATTCAAAATATCAGGGCCAGACTCGGAAAAGCTTGGCCAAGTTCATGTTGTCGGAATACCCAAAGTTATACCCGATCTTGAAGAAAAGTAGTGATTTATATGCAGAATTCCATTCCATAAGTTTTCCGATATCGGTATCTGCTTAACATGTATGAAGCAGATCCTGTTCGAAAGTTCAGCTGCACTCAGCAATCAACGTTTTTCTCTTGGATTGTTGCAGGTTTTCTATCATGGGATAAAGACAGTTGTCACGTAGATCTCGAGAAGGAATTATTGGCCTTAGTAGCGCAAGCCCCTGAAGGCGAGGAAGCCAGAAACGGTAATTATTGTCACAAAAATGCTTCGATTTAATTTGTTTTACGTTATATTACGTATAATTAATCATTTATGTCATGCAATTTATTAGTGAGTGACGAAATGAAATTTTCAGGCGAAAGGTTGATCCAATATGCCACCGAGAATCTCGTAACGGAAGTTCTCATTCACCCGCAAACGAATACATTGTTACAATGTATTCGCAATCTCCTTGCGAGCTTCACGAAACATCGGCACATCATACACGCTGGATACACATTCGGTGGCAATGGTTCCTGGATACTGCAGGTACTTACACCTCGACAGAATATATTCGATCGATTAATAGCTGTGAAACGTGACGTTAATTAATAGTCGCGCGAAATGCGAAGTATCTTGAGGTAGAAATCAATTCCTCTTGTTCAGGATGGAACCTTCAGTCTCGCAGACTTTCTGGATGCGTTCAGTGAACATGAGGTGCAAAGAGTCCTTCGTGCCTATGAGAATAGCGTTACCGTAGATATACATTGCGCGGGTGTCGGCGATTGGACGACAAGTCGATTATCGAAGGAAGTTTGTTGCAGGTGCATATCTCTCTTTCCCTCTCTCGTACATTTTTTCTATACAAACAATTTTGACTTGCGTCGCACAGCGGAAGCTATTTTTTTTCTCGAATACTTCATGACCTTCATCTCTGCAGATCTTGCAGAGTCAGAGTGAACCCCGACGACGTTCTCACAGCCGGCGTACCGGCCATCACGAGTTTTACGAATTACATCGGGCAGTACCTCGTGCCGCAAACACTGGACCAGCTCATGGAATCGTCCGACGTCGTTGGAAATATTAGATTTAGCCATCCGACCTTATACGTCTTCCCCGGTGGGCAAGGTGACGCCGCGCTTTTCGGTATAAACGGCTTCAACATGCTCGTCGACGGCGGCTTTGCCAGGAAAGCATGCTTCTGGGATTTTACTAGACATCTGGATCGATTGGATGCTGTTCTAGTCACTAGGATAAATAATAGTAACATCGGCGGCATGTTCAGCGTTCTTCGCAAGAAGAAGGAGATGCACGTCTACCCTCAGATCGGCCATTTCTTCTGTAACTTAGTCGTAAGTAGTCACTGTTATAGTACTTATCTTTAAAAAAAAAAAAGTTTCTCAATATATTTACAATAATAATTCATATTCACCCTAATAATCGCTAACATTTTGCTATATTCTCGCTATTTTCTCGCTATTTTTTCATCAATAAAAATATATACAATACAGGAAAGAAGACAATCAAATTCACCTGATGGCGATAAGGACATCGATCCGCTCGTGCTCAACCTCACTGACATTGGCCAAGAGATGGTGGTGAATCTTCGTCACATAAATCTCCGTGCCCATCCTTGCTACAGAGATCCTGAGCCGATCAATCTATATCACAAGGTGGGCCACGGCACGCTGGACATGTACGTGCTCAGTCCGAGCAAGGACAGTCGCGAGGTGCGCGAGTTCCTCGCCAAGTGGCACTCGTCGGACTCAAAGCTGTTCGCAGGCTCTCACAAGAAGGATTCGAATAATCTCACATTTCCGATCCAGAATCTCGTGTCGATATGCGCGCTTTTGGTTTGGCAGCCAGCCAATCCCGAGGACAATATTACGCGGATTCTCTTTCCCGGCAGCACGCCGCAACACAAGATCTTCGAAGGTTTCGAACGACTGAAACATCTTGACTTCTTGAAGCATCCGGTATGTTCGGCGAAGACCCTGTCGCCGTCAGTGTCTCTGGCGACGCTCAGAGATAAGCCAGCCAAGCCGAAATTCAGTCTTATCGAGAAGGAGTCCAAGAGGAAAGAAAAAAGAGAGCCATCGGAACCCAAATCCATCAAGGCCGCGGACGACACGACTGCACCCAAGAGTACCCCTCAATCGACGCCGATTATACCGACCAAACCTAAGATCGAAATAAAAACGAAGAAAGTTGTGGAGAACAAGAAGCTCGAGACCGAGGCAAAGGAGAGTAAGAAGATCGAAAAGGAATTGAAAGAGGTAAAGAATATACCGAAAAAAGAACCAGCTAAAGTGGAAAAACCTGAAAAACGAGAGGATGACGTGAAAAAGACTGATTTAATCAAACCGGAGTCCGAGAAGGCTAAGGAATCTAAAGAACCTAAAGAACCGAAACCTAAACCCGAACCAAAGAAGAAAGAACCGAGAGAAAGCAAGGCCGCGGTGAAGGTCGAATTAAAGAAGAGCGACGTAACCTTGAAACCGAAAATGAGCGAGAGGAAAGCCAAAGCCCTCTCGTCCGGCGCGGAGAAAAGAGACGCCATGAAGTCCTCTCCGACTACCCCGAAGAAGACTTTGAACGGCGCTGCAACAAAGACAGAGATATCGAAGGCTGTGCCGAAGGCAAAACTGGCGGCCAAGGTCGCTCCAAGTCTTCCAGCTAAGAGCGCCAAGGAGGCCAACAATAGGAAAGTCGTGGAACAAAAGAAGTCCGAGGTCGAGAAGTCCGCCGTGAAGGATACCGCGGCGCCCGCCGTCAAGGTATCCGCGAAACCTAAGCCGATAGACAGGAAGCCGATCAGCCGTCGCGCGAAACCGGTCAGTCCTAACAAAGCCCGTATGCCGGGCAGCCCGGCAAAATCTACCCGCAGTACTCCAACCGCTTCTGTAAAGTCCGATAAAGACGGCGTTATTCGCAAAGTGAAGGGCGACAAAGGCACCACCGATTCGTCCACGGTCTCCACCCCGTCTGGCATAGAACCAGATGCCGCAAAACCGATCGATAAGAGCTTAGTCGAACAATCTGAAGATATATCACTAGATTCTATAGAAAGTAAAGTGCTGGCAGATCTCAAGGAAGAGCGAGAGGTGGTGGAAGAAATTGAAGCTGTTTTACAAAAAGCGGAAAGAATCGGGGAGACCCGAAAGGACGATCGTTTCGAGGGAGATGACGAAATCACGGCTGAGGCCACGGATAAAAAAGAGGAGGATATCACGGAGGAGGATGTCACCGCTGAGATTGAGGACGTACCTAAGAAGGAAGGTTCTAGAAAGGAGAGTCAAGAATTAACTGAGGAGGACGAGTATCTCATCGTGGAGAAAGAAGAGGTTTACACCGAAGATTCTGCTCAGAGCGGCGAGGGCGAACAAAAGCACGTTCTCGACGAAGCTCAGTCGGAAAAGGCAAAGACGCTGAAAGACGTAGAGGCGATGAAGGAAAAGGGCGAGAAGGAGGAACCTGAGGAGAAGGGAAAGGACGACAGCCCCGAAAAGAAGGTAGAAAAGATCGTGGATAAAAAGGAGAAAGAAATCGCTGGATTATCCTCGGAGCATAAGGAACAGTTACAGGAAGAAGTGAAGGAGATAATAGCTTCCGCAGCTGAAATCGTACAAAAAGCCGAAGAGAAGGACGACTCCGGTAAGAAAGACAGCGAGGAAATCACGAAGGAGCCATCCAGTCTAAGTCCGGACAAATTGGATTCATCGGAGAAAAAAACGACCGATACGGACATGAAGCCGGACGTTGATCAGAAGGAGAATAATATTCTCGAAAAGATGGAAGAGTCTCAGGAGCGAATCTCGACGATAGAATCAGGGGCAACTACAACCGCTCCGACTTTGCCTGAAGACGAGCGAATACCGTTAGATGAAATAAAAGAGGATATTGACGAGAAACATGTTATTGAAGAGGTAAAGGAGAAGGACGCTCCTGATAAGCTGAAGAAAGAAGTTGTTCCGGAAACTGTTCCTGCGCCTGCCAAGCCGGAAGTCAAGGTATTTGATGTTCGTCAAGCAATGCACAATTTGCAAAGAGACATCGTTAAAACACCCGACGAAGTTGCCGATCTTCCGGTTCACGAAGAGGTCGATCCTAAACTTTACAGAATGGAAGATTTCGAGAAGGGGAAAGAGGAAAAGCCATCGCCGACTGCTCAGGAGAGTAAAGAACCACCTACGCCGACCGCAAAGGAGCAAAAGGGTGTCTTCAGCTTCTTCGGGAAGGTAGCGGATAAATTTGAAAAAGGTATTGATAAATTGACTAAGAAGAAGAAAGATTCCGAGAAGGATTCTGACGAAAAATCTTCGAAATCGAGTTCTCCGAAAGAACCGAAAGTGCCAGAGAAGACGCTTTTAGAGGAAGTCGATATGGAGAAGATGTTCCCTAAAATCGGTAAAGAAGAAGTTGATATGGAAAAGATGTTCCCTAAAATCGGTAAGCCCGTTGAAAAACCTGACACGTTCGAAGAGGCGAAACCCACGATTGCTGACGTGAAAGTGGCCGCTATCAAGGAAACCGCGGCGTTTATCCAGGGGGAGATACTAGACACACAGAGGCAAAGTGTGCCAGATATTGAAGAGAAATTCCCGACTGATAAATTGGATGAGATTAAAAAAGTAGAAGACAAAATCGAGGAATTAGTCCTTGCAAAGGACGTATCACCACGTGCCGTTTCACCGGCGAAACCAATTAAAGACAAGGAAATTGCGAAGGAAATTGAACTTCTGAAGGAAGAGGACATCGGAGAAGATGTAGAAGAGGTAAAGGCACTATTAGAGGAAGCTTCGAAAAAATTCAAAACTGTAAAAGATAGTTTAAGAGATTCATTGGAATCTTTGGAGGATAAAATTAAGGAAGAGATAGCCGAAGTACATGAAGTGCCATCTGCCTTAAAGGATGCGGTAAAGGATACCTTGGAAGGGGTGGCCGAGAAGTTGGAAGAGATAAAGCCACACAGTCACTTGGCCGATGTAAAAGAACCGGAAAAGGTCAAGTTTGACATACCAAAAGATGAAGAATTCGAAAATGAATACGAAGAGGAGATAGAAGGGCCATACAGAGATATGAAAGAAGCCGTCAGGGATGTCGGAGAAGTTCTTGCTGGCGTTGCCGGCATCGAGCTCGAAGATAAACCCAAGGATGTCATAGAAATCGTAAAGAAAGTCGCCGAGGTTCTCAGAGAAGATGATTTTCTTCCCGCCGAAGCGATATTCGATCAAGCCCCTAAGAAAGAAGAGATCTCACCAATTTCGACAGATAGAAAACTATCGAAAGAAGAAATCTCTCCAATTTCGATGGAAAGAAAACCTTCTGTACCAAGTGAAAAAATATCCCCGGAAAAGATCGCTAAATTTGGAGAAAAGGAACTTAAACTCGCTCATGAGGATATTGCGATACCGAAGAAAGTCGGCGTTACAGAAGTATTTCCGGCTCACGAAGAACTTATCGAGAAGCCTGGAAAACTTCTGGCGCCACATGAGAAACCTGGCGCTATCGAGGTAAAGGAAGAACCCTGCATAAAAGTGGTGAAGGAAAAAGACGATATAGTAACGTCGCCTGCGAAGGATGTAACGAGGGATAAGCGGGACGCGCAAAAGATTTGTACGGAAATGTTAAAAGACGATCAGCATATTTGCGATCAACATAAAAAACCAACGGACGACGATACGTCTCGAGTGGACGTGATGCAGGCTGGTATCGAGGGCATATGCGTGAAGAAAGTTGCGAAACGGCCATCTTTCGAGGAGAAGCTCGAAGAAATAGAGGAGCCCGTGATCGGCTTCGAGCAAAAGGTTTCGCCGGGAAAAGCGGAGATAGTAATGGTGACTCCCGGTTCTACGCCAACTTCGCCGAAATTCGTCGGGGACAAGATATACGCTGAAGGACTGGAGATCGGCTTTCGGGAACCCCCCAAGTTGCCGGAGGATATTAAGCAAGTTCTCAGCAGGGACGCGCCCGTTGAAGAAGTAATTGAGGAATTAATTATTACGAAGAAGAAGAAGATTACCATCGAAGTGATCGAATACATCACCGTGGTGAAACGCATCCCGAGGGAACGCGTGATTTATATTATCGAAGAGATCATCGTGAAGAAGGGACTTCCCAAGGAAAGCGTAGTGGACGATCTCGAGATTCTGAAGCCAAAGGAATCTATCACACCTGAAAAGAGAATGGAGATCGAGGAATACATCGTTAACGAATACATCGTCAAAGGAAAGCGAATTACTATAGAAATCGTCGAGGAAATCTCGATTAAAAAAGTTGTGCCTAAGAAGATTGTTATCGAAATTATTGAAGAGATCATTGTTAAGAGAAAGAGTGCCAGGCATATGATACTGGATATTCCTGAAGAAGTATTATCGGAAATAATTAAAGAGGAATCGCCGGAAGAATCGTCAGAACAATCGGCAGAGGAGCAGATAACACCGAAAATAGACATAACTGCGAAACGAGAATCTGTCGCTGAGGTTGTTCTATCCACAGAAAGAGAACCGATTATGCCTCAGAAACGAACAGAGGTTGAGGAATTCATCGTCAATGAGTACATTATTAAGGGGAAAAAGATTACCGCATCGACAATCGACGAAATTTCTGCTCAGAAGACCGTGCCCAAGCAAATTCTCATCGAAATTATCGAAGAAATTGTTATTAAAAGAAAGATTCCCAGGAACATGTTACTCGACGTTACAGAGAAAGAATTATTAGCAATATCCAAAAAGACACCCGAGGAGGGGAAAGAAAAATCAGTCGTTGAGGCGCCTAGCGTGGAAATCCCGAAAATGGAAGAACCGATAACTTCGCAAAAAAGAGCGGAAGTCGAAGAATATATTGTTAACGAATACATTACCAAAGGGGATAACATTAACGTTAAAAAACTTGAAGAAATCTGTGGTAAAAAGAAGGTGCCTAAGAGAATCATTATCGCGATTATCGAAGAAATTATCATTAAAAGAAAGATGCCGAGACATGCAGTACTTAACGTAACCGAGGAAGAATTATCGCGTATCAAGGAGGAAGTGATCCCAGAATCGCAAATACTGGCTGAGAAAAAAACTCCAATTGAGTTGAAAGAAGACAAAAAAGAAGAGCTCGAACAAGAAAGTACTGAAGAGGAATTATCGGCCATGTCTGAAGAGGAGGATGTCGAGGAGGAGGAAGAGGAAGTGGATGGATTTGTCAGTATACCTAGAAAGATTTCCGATGCAGTTGACGCGAAGAAGAAAACGATCCCAGAACTTTCGTCTATAGTTACGAAGGAGCACGAGAAAGACGTGATTGACGATTTCGAAGCTGTCGAACAGGAATATAAAGTACGCGATGTACCAGTCACGTCTCCCGAGAAAGCGGACGAGATGAAAGAGAAAGAGGACACTGAAGAAGCCGCAGAAGATACCACGAGCGAAGTTATCGAGGCGGACGAGAAATTCGTGCAAGAAACCAAAGGGAAGGTGGGAATAGAAGAACCTCAGATCGCGAAAGATATTAAACCAGCTGAGAAACGAGAACCTGAAAAACGGGAAACGCCCGAGATATCGGAAATCGTTGATACCACAGAGAAATATTTAGACGAGGCTAAAGAAAAGACAGATGCCATTCTTCTGAAAGAGACTACTGCGAAATCGATACCAACAGTCTCTGACAAAGCAGAAAAGCCTTTGATCGAAGAATCAGGTAGGAAAACATCCAAAGACTTTTCCGATAAACGACCATCAATTGACATGCCAGAAGCTATTTCTAAATCAACTACACCAAGCCCGAAGGCAATTGACGAGAAGCTTGGCATGAAAGAGATTGAGCCCGTGGCCAAAGAAAAAGTCGAGGAACCGCAACTTGAAACAAAGGATGATAAATCAAAACCAACAAGTCCAATTAAAGGCGAAATATTGAAAGATACTGTGCATCCTGAAAAAGTTGCTGAAGGCTTCGCACAACCAACATTACCAGCACACGTATCTTCAAAAATTGACGACGGCACTGTCAAAAGGATGCTGGTTACATCATGTAGCGAGGATGGCAGAGAAGAAACTGAGATCTGTCCAACCGGCAGCATAATCTTCACGAAGAGCGTCACTCCGGATGATTCTCTTAAGGATGTATCCGCTAAATCCACACCGAATAAAGATTCTTTACTTTTAGATAAGGACTCGCATTCGGGCGTGAGTACTCCCGAGAAGGATAGCATTTCCGAAAAATCTGCGCCAGAAGGTAAGGATAGGATTAGTCCGGAAGATAGTTTGGAAAAATCACCCGTTGGTCCTCGTGATTCGCAGGATCTTGAAGACAGTTTGGAAAAATTGGAATTGCGTAAGCCAAAGGTGCCAGAAAAATTAGAAGATATTGCAAAGCCGAAATCTCCCGTGGAGAAAGAAGACTTGAAGGATAAAATTGCCGAAAAAGATATACCGAAGTCGCCTAAGGAGGAACGAGAAGAACCGAAATCTCCTGTTAAGGATGTAGGAGAGACAAAGGAATTGAAATCTCCGGCTAAAGATAAGATCGAAAAACCTGGTTCTCCTGTTGAAAAAATCGAGAAATCACGATCTCCTTCCCCGCTTGAAGTGAAACGTGAAGATCTACAAAAACCAGGATCGCCTCTTGATATGACAACGCAAAAATCTCCGATAGAAACAGCCGAAAAACCAAAACTTCCAATCGAGAAGGTGCTTCCAGAACCCAAAAAAGAAGGAACAATTGGTGTTCCGAAGACACCCGAATCATTCCACTCAGAGGATATTTCACCAGCCGAGACGATTTTCTCAAAGTCACCCACAGATAAATCTGAAATGTACTTTGCGAAGGCACCCATTACCGAAGAAGACGTTGCTGTCGAAGAAGCAATTAAAAAATTACCTGAATCCAAAATTGCCACAGACGTTAAACAACTACAGAAGCCAGAAGAGAAGGAACCGGTGGATAAATCTAGATCTGCGAGTATTGCTAGTGAGAAATCCGAGCAGGATATTAAATCTCTCGATAAGTCTGCTAGTGTTCTAAGTGATAAAGACGAGAAAGAAATTGATAAGCCGAAATCGCCTAGTGTCATTGAGAAAGAAACGATAAGTGAGAAGTTGCCTATTTTCGAGAGTGAACATGAAAAGGGACCAATAGACGAAGCTAGATCTCCAAGCGCGATCAGCGATAAATCCGACGAGAGGAAGGAGGCCGAACGTTCGAAGTCGCCGAGCATAGCCGCGGATAAGCCGGATCTTCAAGATGTGACGGAGCGTTATTTAGAGAAACCAAAGTCCCCTATTTTTGATAGGCCAGATTCGCCTAAAGCTATTGATAAGACTGAAGAATCACATGATAAAGATAGATCTCCCAGTATAGCTAGTGATAAATCAGATAGCAAGAAAGTAAGTGACCATTCTAGATCACCAAGCGTTTCTGTAGAAAAAATAGATCTCAAAGATATGGATTTGCCAGGCGAGAGAACCCGATCGCCTAGTGTCGCAAGCGTTAAGGATGACAAACTGGAACACTCCGCAGTAGCAAAATCCCCCGACGACAAAGCCGAAGTACCAAAGGACGTGTTGAAATCTCCGAAGCTTGACGAAGATAAATCGGATCTGAAAGATATAATGCAACCTCCAACAGACAAATCGCGATCACCGAGTGTGACGAGCGGTATTGGCGAATTTAAGGAACCAGCTCGTTCGAAGTCACCGAGTGTCGCTGATGAAAAACCAGACTTGAAAACTGTTACCGAACAATCGGTTGATAAGTCAAGATCACCGAGCGTTATAAGCGTCACGAGCGAGCAAAAGGAACCAGTTGACCGCTCCAAGTCTCCGAGCATCGCAGGAGAAAAAATAGATTTGAAAGATGTCGCGGAACCTGCAGATCGCTCGAAATCGCCAAGTGTAACTGGAGAGAAGCCGGACTTGAAGGACGTCACGGAGCGACCTGATGAAAAATTAAAATCACCCACCGCGATGAGTGCTACGAGTGATCTGAAGGAACTCGAAGAACAATCGAAATCGCCGAGCAGTGATCTAACAGACATTACAGAACGATCGTCGATGGATAAATCTAAGTCACCTAGTATCGCGAGTATTACATCTGATCACAAGGAACCAGTGGAAAAAGTGAAATCGCTTACAATCCCGGATAAAAAGGAAGAAGCCGATAGAAGCAAATCGCCGAGCATGGCCAGCGAAGGGGCGAAGTCAGCCGTTAGCTCTAAACCGTCGAGTATCGCTGGAGATGCGGCGGACTTGAAAGACGTATTGGAACCGTCGGCTGACAAGTCCAGATCGCCTAGTGTGATAAGCGCGATGAGTGACCAAAAAGAACCGATCGAAAAACCGATATCTCCCGTAATTCCTCACAAAACAGAAGAGCCGCACGACAGGAGCAAGTCTCCGAGCGTGGCAAGTGAAAAGTCTGACGAGAAGAAATCTGCCGATGGCTCGAGAGCGACCAGTGTTACGGAGGAAAAACCAGATCTGAAAGACTTAATGGAACTACCAGCCGATAAATCCAGATCGTCAAGCGTCGCGAGTGAGAAAGCGGAATTATTGGGAAAATCGACATCGCCTACCGTCTCTGATAAATTAGAACCACCTGTTGATCGAAGCAAATCTCCCAGTGTTGCTAGCGATAAGTCCGATGACAAGGCTAGCGTCGAAGAACATTACGAAATACACGACAGACCGGTGTCCCCAAGCATTGTTTTTGATAAGTCGATGGACGATAAGCAATCAATGGAGAAAATAGATATCGACGGATTAAAAATATCCGGCATAATCGGCGAGTTGGATTTTGTCGAGAAGGCAAGATCGTTAAGCATCATTAGTGACAAGACGGAGCCGAAATCGCCATCCGATGTCTCAAAGTCACCGAGTTCAGCCGACGACAAGCACGATCAAAAGGAAAAATCTAGATCGTCGAGTGTTGCCAGCGAGAGGCTCGATGATACTGACATCAAGATTTCGCAAACACCGGAAGCGAAGGGAGAACGATTAATTTCGTCGAGTTTGGAAGCCGGAAAGGTACCGAAAGACGAATCTGCTAAATCGTCACGAGCTAGTTCGCCAGTGGACAAAACTCCAAAAGATAGATCGCGTTCGCACAGTGTCTTCGATGTTGGCGAGAAAACACCGGCCGGCAGATCTAGAACAGCCAGTTTTGTCGATGGACAGCTGCTTCCTCAAGCAGAAAAGGACGCTCTTGTCTCGCATCTCGATATGGGTAAACCACTTGACGGGAAGGACGAATGTAAGAAAGAAAGCAAGAGTCCTATAACTTCCCCCGACTCAATCGAGAAAAAAATGCAGAAGATTCGCGAGAAACGATTTGCCGATTTTAAAGAACCGGACGTCGGGCAGCCGAGCAAGATAGAGAAATCGGACGACGAAGAGGAAGACGTCGTTAAAGTGACAGCCGAGAAAAAGGCGGAGATTGAGAAGTACATTTTAGATGAATTCATTGTGAGAAAACGAAAGATCAGCTTGACAGTGATTGAGAGATTGGTTATGATGTATTCGGTGCCCCAGTTTACAGTGATGGAGATAATAGAAGACATCATTAGCCGGGAAAACGTACCCAGGAGCGCAGTCTTCGACTTCGTAGACGACGAAGCCTCCGAATCTCAATACGGAAGAGAACCGGAAGCGGAATGGCTGGCACCGCAGGAAAGAGCGGAGGTAGAAGAGTACATTATTGAAGAGTTTATTGCGAAGAAAAAGAAAATCACGCTGGAAGCCTTGGAAGAATTGATTATTTTTAAATCCGTGCCACGATACATTCTCATTACAATTATTGAAGAGATCATTGTGAAGACGAAGACACCCAGGAACACCGTAATCGAAGGCGACTTAGAGAGACCCGGAGAAAAGAGTCTGGATATTTTTGAAAAAAAAGAAAAGCCAGGTGACACTGTAAGAAGCGAAAGTCCGGATGGTAAGATATCTCCTGTAGGGAGCGATCGATTTGGCAGGGACTCGAAAGCGGGGCTTTCTGCTAGCCCCAGCTTGAGTCCGGAACCCATCCCTTCCGACAAATCGACCCAGGATAGTCCGGCTCGATCGGAACCGCACATAGACGAGGAAATCCTGATATCGGAAGAAAAGCGAATGGAAATCGAGACGCTCTTGGACGAGGAATATATAAAGAAAGGAAAGAAGATCACGGAGGCGATACTCGAGGAGATAATCGTTAAGACTTCTCTACCCAGATACGTCATCTTAGAGATCCTGGAGGAGATCATACTGAAGAGGAAGCTTCCGAGAGAATCTGTGATCGATGTGGAAATTTATCAAGAGGAAGAACCGGACGAGGATTACGATAAGGCAGTGTATCACTTTGAAGAAACGGCAGATTATGAGTTGCCGCGCGATGCCAGGAAGTCTTCGGTCGAGTACAGAATGGGGATGTATCCGGAATCGGGTGAGCGACAGTTAGACAAGCCTGATTATCCGACGGATTACGATAGCCAGTTCCACAAGACCTTCGCCGGCGGTATGACGGAGATGCGAACGACGCATATAACCACACTGTCTGGAAAATCAACCCCAGAATTTGCACATGACGCGACTTCCGCATCCGGAATCGAATCAACCGGCAAAGCGCCCGGAAAGTTACCGGAGCCTACTTTGACCACGACTCACATAACGAGGACGGACGTGAAAGACACGAAGGATGTGCAACCCGCGGAAAGTGTCACGATTTTGAGAGAAAGCAAGATTGCGGAAACTGTCGATAAAGACGAAGAGACTGCAGGGATTTCGGCGACGAAGAAACATGATATCGACGAGAGCGGGGAGCCAAAAATTACATCTGCTGATTATACAGCGGAATCGGCAACTGATGCCACGAAGGGAATCGAATCACAAGAAATAGCTAAAGAAGTTAAACGATCAAGTATCCAACAAGATGAGCCCGAAGCGATTACCAAGATCATCAAGCGGGAAATCGTGGAGCAAGACGAACCGGAAGTGGTCACTAAAGTCGTCAAACGGGAAATTATTGAGCAAGACGAGCCCGAAATTATCACAAAGGTGATCAGACGTGAGATCGTCGTCCCCGAAGAAGAGACGGATGACTCAAAAGAAGATTCCAATGAATATGTAAAGACAATTACGACGAGAACGACGCGAACGATCGTGACAGAAGAATTACCGGATGCCGAATTGGCGCAGACTGATCCTTCGAAAATTTACAGAGATCTCACCTCGGGTACAACTTACAAGGTTGTGAGTGACGAAGATGCATCTGACGCAACGACCAGCGCCGACGTGCAGCGAATCGTGACAACTGTAACCACGATCACTGGTCCGGATGGCAAGGTTATCACAAAGAAAGATGTCAAGGAGAGCACGGACACTTTGGCCAGCGCCGAATTATTGGAAAAATTGACGGAAACCACCAAACCTGCGGAGAAGGTTATCAAAGAAACGATTACGACTGTGACATCGGGCACTGCGACACCCGATGTAAAAGCCTTCTACGATTCCGGTAAATCAACACCTGATCTTAAACATGACGATAAACTCGAGTCTACGGTGAAGGAACACTTAGAAGCGGACAAATTCGAACACCCAGTGTCTCCTTTAATACGAGAACTTATATCTGACGACAAGAGTTATTCGGGCAAGTCCTCGCCAGACATATCGCTGCCCAAGGACATCGTCTTTAGCGGCAAGTCTACGCCGGAGATTCCTATGTCGCCGTTGGTCAGAGAAGGAGCCGCGATTCAGCCTCACGTATCGGGTAGATCAACGCCCGACAGAAGATCCGACGGTCGATCGTCGACGGACACACCGGAAGGATTTAGATCAGGCGAGATGATCCGAACTATCGTCACGACCACGAAGACGGTGTCCGACGAAGGTGAAATAGTGACGACCACCAGGGAGGTCACGGAGACGACGAATGAGAAAGGCGAGACGGTTGTGCTGGCCGAGAAGACCGACGTGAAGGTGGACGAACGTCTGCCGAGCAAAGATGCCGCGGAGAGCGCGATCAGCAGCATCATCGGTAGCATTAAGTCTTCGGAGTTGCAGCGTAGCGACAGTCCAGGCTCCGACGACGTAGCCAGCGAAAAGGATCGCGGTCCGGCTAGTCCACCGAGCGAGCACAGCAGCGTGCGTAGCAAGGCCATGACACACCCGTGGGGTAGCAGCGAGGAGCGACATACCTTTTCCGATGACGAGCCACCCGGCTCACCTTTCTCCTCGACCTCGCAAGTCGGACATTCATCGAAACAGGTCGAGTTCTCAACAGCCGCGATGAGTAGTAGTTTCTACGGCGAGCTGCCAGCGGTGCCGCCCGAGATTTCCGCGATGAAGACCTTTCACGGCGAGACTGGTATACAGAAGAGCGGCGATCCCGTTCACAGCCGATTTACGGTCGAAAAGGAGCCTGCCGGCGCTTACGGCGAGAAGCCGGACGCAAAGCGGTACGTCGACGAGGCCGACCTCGACTTCGATAAGGCTCTGATGGAGCGCAAAGAGATGAAGGAGGCCGGAGGGGCTTTCAGCAGCGGGATAGCGCCCATATACACGAACGGTAATGTGCGACATGAAGCGGCCGACGAGAAAGATCATCCGTCGTCTCTGTTCCGGGATGACGCTAAGGATGACTCGAAAGGTGACTCGAAGAAAGATCCTTTAGAGGGGTGGGGACCTCCTCTCGGTCTGCCGTCCCCTAAACCGCCCAGAAAGTTTAATCTGAAGAATCCTGCTCAATCTCCATCGTGCTCAAGCGAGACAACCTCTGATACTCTGAATTTCGACGTTGTAAAAAATTGGGGAGAACCTCTAAGGCTACCCTCGCCCGCACCGGTGGCCAACGAAGTGTCGAACAAGGGAGCACCTAGTACACCGAAAAAAGAGCGGAAACAAGCGAAGAAGATCCAGTCGGAAAACATCAAGAACAAGAAGCGCTCGGAAAGCCCTGGTAAGAACGAAAAAAAGGTGAAGGACTCGAAGAACAAGGTTCAGCCGGTTTACATGGATCTGGCGTATGTGCCCCATCACGGAAATTCGTACTATACTTCTCTGGAATTCTTCAAGAGAGTGCGAGCGAGATACTACGTCTTCAGCGGCACCGAGCCCAGTCGAGAAGTCTACGACGCTCTGCTGGAAGCTAAAAAGACTTGGGAGGATAAGGATCTCGGTAAGTTTATTAAAATTATACTAAGAAATTACAGATCTACATATTTTCATGATAAATTATTGCAAATATTGTTGTATTTGTACATTATTCTTACTTAAGATTTAAAAAATACGTTATGTAACTCAGATTCTCTCTCTACAACTGCCATCAATATTATTAATTATTTATTATATTTTTTCCTCGACGGCCGATAATTTATAACTTGATCCCAAAAAATATTATTAATTATTATTTTTTTAATTATTTCTCCTCGATATTTTATTAAAACTCAATCACGATTAAAGCGTAATGATATTGATATTTGAATGCGGGTAATATCCATGCTAATCGTGCAACGTGTTCTAACTCCGATGTAACTTTATCCTTTGTTATCAGAGGTAACCATGATTCCGACCTACGACACCGACACTTTGGGCTACTGGGTCGCCGATAACGAGGAAGCGCTCGCGGCGAATCACATAGACCTGTCGCCGTCCGCGTCCCGATGCACTATCAATCTCCAAGATCACGAGACTAGTTGCAGCGCCTACAGGCTCGAGTTCTAGGGATTGGCAGCCTGCTCAGCCGTAATAGTCGAGTTCTGAGCGGCGTCCGGAGCGCGTGATCATTTCGCGCTTCCGAACCCATTTCCCATTTCGTAAAGGGAAAAAAAGAAAAAAAAATAAGAAGATAAAAAGAGAGAGCTCAGACCGACCTACCGTCCCGTCAGGTGATTCCTGATCCCCCCCCCCCTTCTAGAAGACCCGAAGACGAACAACATTTTGAATTTTCGAGATTCCCTCGCGGTCGTAGCTCCGCGGCCTAGCAGGATCGTAGTAATCCTGTCAAACAATGTAGAGACAGTCCCGAGGAAGCGAGACCGACTTTCGATCGCGCTCAGGTCTCAAAAATTGGGATTGTTTAAATCTAAGTTAGAAACGTTCTCCTTATTCCTTCGCGAGGAGACGGTGCGGGCGACGAGAAGAAGGGAAGAGAGGAGGGAAAAGATCGCGAGGGTTTCTTTTCCTGCACGGAGATACAAGGTATAAATTAATTATTTACTTCTAAGAAGCCGAGATTATCGATAGGGAGAATTCCACGTTCGATTGAAGGTTTGCGCTGATAACAGTCGACGTCCATCGGATGTTTATATTTTCACACTCTGCACCGTTCGCGGCCCGTAGCGCGCTGATACCGCCTACAATACTTATCGATCACTGCTCAAATCGAGAACGTTTTTGCGAAGATGAAGCTAAAACAAAGAGGGACGATGGTTGCACGAGCGACGATCGATCGCGAAACGACGACGGTCCATAAGCGCCGCGGTCTGGTAACAATTTGTTACGCCAGTTAACTGAAAATTACAAATTGATCTTAGGATATTCTAATTTAAAATCCGTTGAACACGGATCGTTGAACAATCGATGCGAGACCTCCTCGCCCGCATCCTCTCCTCGATCAGCAGATCAAATTAAGACTTTCAATATCTCTGACACAGCTGCCGCTTCAAGAGCACCGCGTAGTACTTAGTGTATCAGTTTAAAGAAAAAAAAAGAAAAAAAAATGAGAGAAGAGAAGTACCGCAGTTCAACTTACGCGGGAAGGCATACATTGTGAAAGGGACGCGCGTTCGATAGACGCGCGCGTGTCGAGGGACGGATTCCATCGTTCGTGTCGCCGGTGGATCGTCCTTCAATAGGACACGTAAGGACGTGTTGCACGACTTACGGAGAACGATTTACGTTTCACCCGCGAAATATTATTCCTTCGTTGTTACGTGACTAATAACGGTCCCCTTTCTCGTCGTAAATGTCTATTCGTGCATAGGGTAAAACGGAGCTAAATTCCATCGAGAAGTACTAGAGTAGGAATTTATCTGTGTGTCGTGTTTCTATATCGTAGGGCATAGAGATACGCGCGGGCGGAGGAGTGGATGATTGCGAGCTTTTGACAGATTCCGTCGCCGCGTCGTCCGTCGGCGGACGACGCGGCCCGCGCTAGCCGAGGAGTCCGACGAGGATGATATATCAAAAGAGGTTCGAAGAGCGTTTCGTTGCCGCGAGGAGAGTGCAGGGCGATGATGACATGTCTCAAAACGTCCATCCGACGGATAAACAGTCCGATCGTTTGTTTAAATTGCCTTCGTAGAAGCCTTTCTTTTCCCGAACGATACTTCCGGAAAACAGGCGGTTGTAGCACCGAGAATCTTTTACAGACATCGATATTATGCGCGCGAGATTCGCGTGGTGGACGATGACGTCGTCCTCGTGAGAGAAATGAAATCGTCTTGTTCACCTGGCCATCGTATTGCATCGCTATTCCGGCGGAAACGAATGTCGGATACGTCGAAAGCGATAGTGGAAGGTGTCTTACAGTGATCGAATCATTATAACGTCGCACAAGCAATTTTTCAACTCATCTCACGATCAGATATTGCAGGGAAGCAATTCGAGGAAATACCTGAAGACATCTAAAAATTTCTAGGAATTTTCTACAGGAGGGAATTGTCGGGTGTGAAAAATAATCTGTCGAAAATACGATTCTTTAAAGGAAGAATAATTACAAAAAAAAAACTCGATGGCGTGAAGGAAAAATTATCGTAAAAAAAGGAGAGCGCGTCAAAAGAAACGGACTAAAATCTCCGCCGCAAGAAGTCACATCGTCCTCGTAATGACAAATCGAACAAAGTTCTATCTGTCGCGCTAGTAGACAATCCCAGCGGCGTGAGAAACATTTGGCCGATCGCTGTTTTCCGAAGTATCGAAGTAACGTCTGAAAAAAAAAAACCGATCGTTATGAATAAATATATCCGTTTTCGCAGATGGATTTTGCGGTTCGTCGCTGGCTTGATCTTGAAATCAGCGAGAATGTATTCGGGGGAGGGGGGGTAGGGTTGATTAAGATCGATGAAAACTTTTTGTACTTAACTTTTTCTTAGCTAGGCGTTTTAAGCCAATGCGTGACGAACTGACAAAACTGATGGTGACGACTACAACGACGGACAACGATCTGATAACACGGAGAGGAAGTGGTGCCGAACATCGCGCTTATTTTTGAGACTCTAAATGGGACATGAATGTTTTTAGCAAACCGATGACAGGCCTTCCATTCATTATTATCTTACCGGTAGAAGCGTGGAAAGCTGTTTGCCGTGACTTCCTGATGCAGAAAGGTACACGTTTATCAGCGAGTCTTCGTGAGGTCAATGGTGGTACGGTTAAATTCTGCTCAAACAGCACAAAGATCCAAAATATACGTACATGACGTACGTATTACGTAAAGGATTTCCGGAAAAATCAAGTTCTTTCGGACGTTTTTTACGACTTTTAGACACTTATGCTGTCTGGGTGGTGCCCCATCTTTTCTAAGAGAGACCGAGTCGTACCAAATATCTTGACTCTTAACGTTCTTATAATTGTACCTTAAAGAAGCCCATCTAGTGCCGACCCTGCATGCGTACCCCTAGATCGCAATTGTCGCATGCCGATGATAATGTCAAATGTCGATGTATCGCCTTGAATCAATTCAATTCGAATCGAAATCAAAACGCGTCGCGGTTTCGACTCGACGCGAGAATGACCGCAGCTGCGATTTAAGGACGTACCGAAAACGCGTACGTAGAAGTGATTCATCGTTATCCGTGAATTACGAGAGAACACATATAGGCCGCGGAAGGAGAATCGATATACGAGAGGTAACAGAGAGACAAGTGCGATTAAGCGCGATATCGAACTGTAACTTATAGAGGACATCTTTACTCACCATTCTCGCGAGATCCACCGACGAAAGTAATATTTTGACGAAATTAATATCACAAAGCATGATAGACCTTTCGTGTCTACAATAGACATCCTATGACTTTATCATGGAAATTGAGAAAATCCTGAGTGACGTTTGAAAAATGAGAACGCCTAAAAGATCAGAACGTCTTTCGCATAATTGTGTTGCCCGGTTGAAGAATGATATCTCAATGACCGCAAGCGGATTTCGCCGAATGAAAGTCGGAGAAAGCTCTCCTCTATACGAGACACATTCGTGCCTACACGAAAACGATGGTGCTCGATTAGACCGATCGTTGATGACGATATTGAGGTACGGTGATATATACGGGGGAGACGGTGATAAAAGCGATTTTGTCTTGTCGCTGCAAAACGAGAAGCGATAGAGTGGCCCTCGGGCCCGGTTTCTATAGATTAGTGCGTAAGTTTTTTACCGCCTGTAAGTTACACACGATTTTTTCCGTTCCAATTTTACGCGAGATTTATTTTTGCCACACGCATACACGGTACATATACGGTATCGCCCACGTGCTCATCTGTCATTCGTTCGATTATATTTATTGTTCATTTCTCGCTTGCGTTCGTGATCATGTTTTTTTTTATTCGCGTTCACCGAACGCAGAGGCGCGTTTATTCGAAAATCAGTTGTCAGGGAAGCGAGAGACTTAACAGTATCTCGTTTTGCTTTCGGCGGAGTCGTGCGCGACCAAGATTTTATCTCACCGAATGGCGAAAGAGAGGACGAGCAAGCGAGAGAATTTTGTAATAGGCAAAAAAAACGTAAGAAAGAGAAAGAGTGAGTGACGTAAGTGACATTGAGAAAAAGAGAGGCGAGAACGATCGATATTGTTATATAAATACGATTATTACCACACCGATTATTTTTTAATGACTATTATGCTTGTTATCATTGCGATTAATATATTATTGTGCTACTATTATTACTGCGATTACTATTAATATTATTAATATTACGATTACGTTCACGAGAGAGGGTCATTATCATCATCATCATCGTTCTCTTTCTATCATATACATGAATAGAGTTTTTATATTTATCAATACCCTCATACGTATGATAGCGAGTTGACGTGCAAGAGAAAAGTATTTAAAAGAGAAGTAGACAGAGAGATGAGGAGAAAAGTAAAAGAGAGAGAGAAAGGGAGGGAGAGAGAGAGAGAGAGAGATGATGACGATGAAGTATGTGTACCTATGTATTTACGTATTATTTATTGACAAGTAATATAATGACCAGTTATCTAGGTAGGATGTTAAAATTATGAAATTCAATTTAACGAAAAACAAAATAAATTAATAAACTATTAAATGAGAAGCTATTGTCGATCGATGATGATGCGCGCAGGATAGATTAAATAAACGATGAATTTATTGGAGTAATTTAAATAAAAAGTATAAAAATAATAAAAAAAAGAACAAATAAATGATTAGGAACGAGCTTTCACCGAAACAGATTAGCGGGAAATATGAGGGAAGAAAAAAAATATATATTATATATATAGATATCTATATAATATATGAACAAAGTACGTAAGAAAGGAAGTATAAAAGAGAGAGAGAGAGAGCGAGCGCGTGAGAAAGAGAGAGAGAGAAAGCGAAAAAGAGCGAGATGTGAAAAATGTGAGCCTCAACACCTGTACGAACCCCCCAAAAAATCGCAATGCTCGACGGGTGTGAGAACAGTGACATCGGTAATTTCTTCGAAGAACAATCAATAATAATATTCTTAATTAGAAGAGAAAAATTGTTGGGCATCCCGGGCAATGGAGGAAAGTAACGTCCTTCTCGACGTGCGCTCGCGCCTTTTTCCCCCCTCGATCGCTTCTTATTCCACGAGCTGGACGAACGGCACGAATTGATAAAATCAAAAGATATGCGCCTTTCCTCCGCTATAAAATTTTCTCGGATATTCCACGAGCAGCTCTAGTCAGTGAGAAAATAAAAGGGAAGAAAATCGTCCAATCGCATCCGGTCGAGAGTCTCGTTGATGCGCAACGAGAGTGATGGCGAGACTTTTTCGCGTTTCCGAACAACGCAATATCGACGAAGACCTCGGACAGATATCCAAGGATCGTCCCGAGGATGCTCGGGATGTACCATGGACGTCACTCTCGGATGTTCCCTGATATTTCGAGTTCCTTACACGATTACACGATCGCGGTTCTCACCCGTCGGCGCGTCGCGTTCTTTTCGAATAACGAATTAAAAGAGAAAAAAAAAAACAAGAAAAAAAAACTTACTGTGGAGTGTTCATGGTGCTATGATGATTATTATTATTATTATTATTATAGAAATAACGATGTTACGCTATATGATAAAAATGATAATATAATAAATATACACTATACCTTAGAATTTGTCGCCTGTGTGCCTCACGCGTCTTGATTTTCTCCTCGTCGATCGACCGTAGATCAGCCGCCTGTTCGAGATGTTTTTGCACAAGGATCAAGACCGGACGGGATCCCGCTGCATTTTCGGAAATGGATGCTGCAGACACGCGAAAATGATGTGATGATACACCTCTATATGTTCGAGTCGCGACAATCGTGACGTGAGACACATCTTTTCGTGGCTGCAGCATCGTAAGTTAAATCAGTCGGCAATCGCATCCCGGTTTCGTATCCCGCTTCTGCATGCTCACTGTGTTTCGTTTCACATGTCGTGTAAGTTTGTAATGATGACAAAAAGAAAGAAAAAATAAACAGCCCCGTGCGCCCTGCAAAACTGCATTCAGATGCATTCTCGTCAATTGTACTCACTTCTTTATTTTTTTTCTTCATATCGCTAAAAAATATGTAAAAAAAATAATATAAACCAGTTTCGCCAGTAGCTCACTAAAGAATTGGTAGAGGTATAAAATCATGTTGTGTTAGATAAAATAAATATAATTGATATAGCTTAAGTTAAATCTACACTTGTTTCTTACTCGTTCGATATGTGTATCGATATTTGGTCTATGATATGCGCTGTAATGTGGTACTGATACTGATGGTACAATAATCTCAATATCCCGTAGAATACAGTAACATATTGGATACTTTTATTGTAAATCAAATCTTCTCGATATGTTCGTTGAATATTGAATAGCACGCTCGACTAATGCACGTGTAAATCTCTCATAGCTTTACATGCCGTTAAGTATTTATCCCTACGTAACAATCCTGCTCTGCACTCTCCGTCAAAGATCACGATGTTGGATATTTAATTATTGTAATCGCAGTTTTTTTTTAGATATATTCATTTAACACATTGAATATCGCGTTTGCAAAGTTCTCGTCAAACGCAGTGACATGTATTTGCTAATGCACGATTCTGCATTTTCGGAATTTACCGAAAAACAAGTTCATCTTGCATATCAATAAAGGCTCGATAAAAATTCGTAGATAAGCAGTCGGTATTCGTCGTGCTGACAAATCGATCGCACCACACGTTCCTCGTGATGATTCATTTGGCATACGAGCGAACCGTGTCGTCGCACGAAGCGGGATCACATCCGAATGATCGTCGTTTCAAAATCCATCGATCTCCAGAGATTCCTCAGCAGCACCGTGACACGATGTCGCGACGCGAAACGGCGAAGCGACGTCGCGTGCCTCAGAATCTCGTGTTGTCCGGCATCTTGACGAAATACGCGACCTTATCCTCGGCTACTCTGTAATTGTGTATCCATCTCGAGCCCTTCCTCAAACTCCCATCGATGCCGTCCCTCCAGACCCCAGCCGGCAGATAGACCTCCCGCTGCCTGCTGCCGGAATAGAGCACCGGCGCCACGATCAACTCCTCGCCCACGGAAAATTCATCGACCACCACGTGGCACGCCGGGTCGGCCGGATCCAGCATCCAGAGTGGCCTGATGATAGGCAGACCGGTATCCAGAGTTTCGTTCGCGTACTTCTTCAGTAACGGCGTGACCGTTTTCTGTCGCAAGGTAGTTAATCTTTTAGCGATCTCCAGGACCGACTCGTCCGAGTACTTGCTCGGCAGATGGGTGAAGCGGATGACGGGCAAGAAGGTGGACAGCTGCAGCCAGCGGATGTAGAGCTCCTTGTCCGGCAGATCTACCTCGTAGTCGTTATCCGGATTGTTGTCCGACATCGGAAGCGCTACGTCGCCGCCCACCGCTCCTGGCATGATAAACGGATAGCCGATCATACCGTAGCTGAGGACAGTTGGAATGACGGTCTTGATGGCCTTCCAAGACGACGGGAAAGGAGGCAGGGACACGAAGACGGGTGCCCGTGGCCTGGAAATGGCGCTGGAGACACCGATCACGGGTATGGTGCTCAGTATCGAGCGGGTGAAGATGGTCTTGTAATGGTCGGGATTGGTCAGTGGCTGCTCGCACTTGTAGTAGTGCGGCATATCCTGGGCGGTGCCCAAGTCGAGATAGAACGAGTCTACATGATATTTCATGATCAGACTCTCGAGCTTTGTTTGCAGCCAGGGCAAAGTCTTGTTGGTCGTGATGTCGAGCACGCCGGCGCTGTTAATTTGCTTGTACCTGAAATTAAATATAAATCCTTTTTAAAATATTTTCCACGGTCAGATTATATTTCCTATTATAAGATGTGACAATTCGTATAGTAATTTATATTGAGAAATATCTTGATTAAGAACCTTGTCAATGCCGGAATTCTAGGATCGCTTCCCCTCTCGGAGATCAATAATCTGTTAGCGACAGCGTCCTTGAAGTTGATGGATTCCGTAGAGATAAACGGCTGGATAGTGAAAACTATCCTAAATCCTCTGCGATGAATGATGTTGATAGTCTCCTCCATAGAGGGGAATCGTTCTTCGTCTAGGACGAAATCACCCGGGCTGGGCTGCCATTCTTCGCTCAGCAGAACGTGCCCTTGGCGAAGGAATCCCAGCGCGATTACGTCTTCCGTATAATTGTAAATAGCTGCCTCATTGGTGGGCGAGATCTGCCAAACCGGCTCGGACAGAAGAGAATGAACGGCGTGCAGCTCATCGGGCTTCAGACCGTCCCACAGGGACTTCTCCGCCATCGAGGAATGCAGACTCTTCATATTGTCGGTCGCGCAGATAGTGTAGTTAAGCTGAGGTAGCGGAGTCAAGTGATTGATGTAGGCAAAGGCGTCGTGTTTTGCCTGCAGACAAAAGTCGCTGGTACGATTGGCGTTAATGGAGACGTAAAGCGGCGTCTCGGGATCCACCAGGATCGTAGCGCCCTTCGAATTGAGGAAGTATCTCTTCAACACGTTGCCGAAGGGATGTTTCCTCACGTCGCCCGTGATGAAGGGGCTCAGTTCCAGGCGGCCGCGTTCCAACGGATACACCATGTTTTGAATTTGACCGGCGCCGTACCAATGACCCCTTTTCGAGGACCAGTCGAAGCAGTCCTTGGGATTGTAGTAAGGACTCAGGCTCTGCCAGGTGACGTGGTAGCAGTGCATACCCTCGCGCTTCGTATGCTCGAGGTAAAGCCGCGTCTGTTGCAGCCACTCGAGGCAGACCGAGTCCTGTCGCTGATGATGGGGGAGGCAAGGATACACCCCCGTGTTCGATGGGATACCCTCGCCAAGCCGAGCAGCGATAATCTCCGCCCCGGTGCTGCTGTAGACTCTCATCACCCTTTCGTTTTTATTGAATCTAAAAAAAAAATTAAAGAAAATTAATAAATAATTGTTAAAGAGAGAAAGCTTCTCGTGGTCTTCACGAGAAATAATGAAGCGGAAATTGTAGGAAATATTTATCAAGCTCGACTACAAGTACACTGATGAAGAAAAATTGTTGCGTAAAATATTGGATAATCGGTATCGAGATCTCCCTCCCACGATTCTAAGATAATGCAGCCCCTGAAAAGCTAAGCGTGCACGTTGGGTTACCAATTGAATACGCATTTTGAGACTAGCACGAGATCAGCACGATAAACGAGCCTTAATGTATTCCATTAGGCGCTTCCTGGCAGGGGCAAACGACCGAAAGTTATTTCAGAGTAGACGACAAGCGATGCCGCCGACTATCGAAATACCATCCCTTGAATAATGCATCAATACATACGCGAAATAATTTTAATAACGTTTTGTCGATCGCAACGGCGAGTACTCACCTAAATTTCTCAAAATAAGCTCGTTGCAAGACGTGCTGAGTGTAGTAAATGTGAGCGAATCCCACGAGAAAGACGATGCAAAGGAACAGGATACCAACAAATGCTTTAAGCCTGCGGAAAGTTAATTTCTTAAAAAATTAGATGGCCTTTAAACAATTACTGTAATTATGAGCCATCGTAATAGTTTCTGTTAGATTTCAATATATCTGTTGTTTAATTTAAAATTTCTTTAGATTGTGTCTCACCTATAGTCAGCATTCTGACGTCTTGCACTGCTACGTAACGCCTGCGGTAACGATAACTGTAGTTTCTCCTTCAGAAGACTGCTAATGCTATTCACGCTGGTTATCGTGGAAGTCGCGCTCTGCACACCCGAAAGTTCCGTAGTGTCGTTCCCCATTTTTTCATTAACCGAGGGCGACACTATTCTGCCTTTTCTTCGCGGTGGAGCTTGCAACGGCACTCTGAAAAATCATCACTGATTATGTAAAGCCCACTTTAAACGACCTAATTTGTGTGTGTGTCAGAATTTAAGATAAAAATCTATTTTGCCACGTAATATGAAAAACATCGAAGAATAAAAACATACATATATACATAAATATATATTAAAACATATGTTATAACATACAACGTATAAAATTATATAAATAGAATTTTATATCTTGATGCGATAATTACAGATTATCTAAAGTAGACTTAAATAAATAAACAGTTTCTCTGTTTAAAATTTCTGAAGATCCCGATATACATCATTGTACCTTTGTAACGATACGGCGCTACCGATATCATATCTGGGAATCATCTCGTAGTCTTAGTATATATTGATATTTCAATGGATAAATTAATAAACTAATATCTCGGTAAATTGATATTCTAGCTAATATTTTAACTGGTTTTACTATCTATACTTCAATCCTTTGAACCACATCATTTTTTTGATGCGGAAACCGCAGTCACAAACAGAAACGTAAGATCTTAAAGATTCAACGTGCACTCATATATTTGGCGCAAAAAAGTCAGGAGACTGGTAGAAAATTTTGAACAATTATACATGTACGAAAAAGCGAGGAAGCCGTAATTGCGATCGAGCGGTGACTGTTGACCGAAACTTGCGGTTACAGGAGCCAACTCTTATAGCGCGATAACCCTGAAGCGATATGAAGGAAGGTCGGGCCCCGACGTTGACGATGCTTACGATGACCGTGAACACGGTCAGAGATAGATACGGTCGTTTCATCTGCTCAGTCGGAACGCGACCGCAAGCGAGAACGATAAACAGTACCTCGTGTATGCGTCTAGTGGGGTGTTACAATGCAAATTGCGCATTTAGAGCGCATAACGTCGAGAGAAAATTGCAGGCGAGGTATCCGTCTCCTGCGAGTAAGCTACACGGAGAGCCGTTCTCCTCCGGTCTCAAGCCCGATGGTATCGGGCATTTATAGATTTATTAAGCGGTTGAAACGGGTTAACACAGGTGAGAACCAGCTCAATATTGGAATGGCAAACACGACGGGCATGTAATATATGTTGTCCCACGCTATTATCATTCGTTGAGTTAAGAATTGACACAAAAGATCGTAGAAAAACATCACTTGAATTTCACACGAATTACATCTGCGAGGAATCGACTGAAGTCAATTAACCGCTTAGGACTTAGGCTGACGAAATTTTAATCGCTATTAAACAAATTGAAATTTTGACACTAAATTAACCGAAGCTATATGGTGTTATTTCTAATTTGTATAAATTTATGAATCGCGAGCTAGGACACACAGAGTCACTGTGGTTTTTACATCTTCTTTTCTTCTCCGATTCGTCTCTTAATCTTAATCGATCGCCGAGTCTGACACTCACTTGGCCAACTCTTCGTCATTCGCTTCCTCTTCAGTTTCGGATCCCAGAGGACTTCCATTCGGTGTCGAGCCGCTGTTACTGAAAGTTACGCTGCTGCTCGTCTCGCTCTCCGCCCTCCTAAATTTCGAGGCAGTACCCTGCAACATTTCGGAATTCAGATGTGAATAAGCGTGCCTAAACCGCGCCGGCACCTGTGCAATGAAACAAATCGTCGATCAAGTCTGTATACGATCTTTACCGATCAAATAGCAAGGCTCATCTGCGCTTTATATCGATTGTTAATGTTTTGAAAGCAACACTGCGCTTTGACATGCTTGATTTGCACGAAATGTGCAAATCAAGCATGTCACGTTATTTTTTATTGACATTCGATCCGCGAGAAAATATCATGCGACATCGATAAGACGTCGCTACTATTGATTAATTAATATTTTATTTGATTTTATATTTTTGTCATGCTTCTCGCCTTTAAAGTTCTTTTTCTCAAATAAATATTGAAAAATTGTAAAAGAAAACACATGGAATATTCGTAACAATGTCGTACGAATTGCGAGATGTTGGTTGATAAATAAAATCAAGTACAACGACCGCTATTCAGAAATGCACTCCTTATCAGCAACGTTTATTGCACCTCGTACATCAAGTGGAAAATTTAGCAAATATGAAATGGAATTTTTTGGCAATATCACCGTCTCTCTATAGTAAAACGTCGAGCACGTTTTTCGACCTTCGCTCTAAAAACATTAGCGTTACGCTAATTACATCGTATGGCAATGTTCCTTGAATACAAATATTCATACGTTACACAGTTCAATTAAAAATTGCTGATGTTTTTTTAATCTGAAACTAAAAATTAAATTATTAAAAAGTTTCACGAATTTGAGAGATTTTTCCTTTTTGCAGTAAATAAAAAAATGCAGTAAAAAAAGTGTCAAATCTAAAATAATATCGTATGAGATAAGGTATCGTTCGTATTGAATGTCCTTGTGAGAACTGCTTGTTTTTTGTGGGTAAGTGTATTGCAGGATCTTGCAAACGATAAACGTTACGTAACATATTGCTGAGAAATCTCGTTTTTTTTCTAAACTGACACGCGAGCATGAATATTGTATTGAACGATGATTAACAGATAAAAATTTGGATCTGTCCGGTTTTTCTGAAATTGAAGATTATAAGAGAGAGAGTTATATACGTTCTTTATTTTTAATATAGAAAGTTCGCATAATTTTCATATAAATTTTTTTCTTTAATTGCTGCGATATGTGTTTCTCCTCTTAAATCAGAGCTTTCAAAATGCTTATAAGAATCTGTCACATCACACAATTTTGTTCTGCAAATTGCAATTTTAACCGCACCTCGTGAATGATGTTCAGCTTGTGTTTCTTAACGCCGGCCAAGGCATTCTCCAAGGAATACGTCAAACTGTGTCTGTGATCCTTGACATCCATCTCGCACCACTCATACCGATCCATACCACTCATCGTTTACTTTTCCGCCACTTTCGCGCTTCTCCGCTTCTTTCGTGCAATGTATAACGCGATGTAAAACGCTTCACCCGACGATGAAGTTAACACGTACCTTTATATAACAATCACTGATTATTGTTAAACAAGGGTTTCCAAGGATAACTCGAAGATACAGATCGGATTGAATTATTTCCTTAGTGAAAAACTATCGTGGCGTACGTATCAATCACCCGAAATCAAACTGACCACGGTGGAACTTCTTTTCACAAACGCGCGAAATCGACAGCTACGATATGATGTTATTCCCGTCATTAGAGAGACTAACATATATATATTGATTCAGTGGGTGCGAAATACGCGGAATGTTGTTGTTCGACTTTCGGAATCTTCTTCAGTCTTTCGGGCGAGCATACGTTATATTACTCTTTTTTTTTTGACACCTGACGAATATTTCCGTCAGTACATTCTGCGTCATCCTCTTCTAATATTTACATAAGTTTATACGAGACGTCAAAGACTCCTCGACGTCTGTTTTAATGACAGATCTCTCGGATTCTATTTATGACATGTATTATGACATATATAGGAACTTTTGCATGCAAATTACTGCGATGGTAATTATAATGCCGGTGCGATTAGTTAATATAAAATCAACTTACGTTTTGTCTGTCTATCCGAAGATCGTCCATCTCGTTGAGGTTGCTGGGCATAGATATGCTGGTCTTCCTTATATTCGTGGCGCGTAATGCTGTCACTTCCGGCAATACTTTCACCGTGCTCGTCTCATTGACGGTTTCTCGATTATTTTCTTGTTTAACTGCGTTGATAACAGCATTGGCATTATCATTCGGCTTGCCTGGAAAGTCTGAAAACCAAATCGAGAGGAATAATTGAATAAAAATGACAAGTACTTAAGCACGCGTTAAAGCAGGTTGTGAGGCAATTTTGCGGAAATAATGTTAAGCAATTGACAACAATATAATTATTAATCTCTAAATTTGCATAATTCGAAGTCATTATCGGTGTATAAATATTCGCGCAATATTGCGTTAAAAACGAACCTACGCAAGTGGGTACGTTCCTATATGCTAACTTATCGCAGAGCAAACTGTCGTAAGAAAACATCGCGATAATTGAAGTGGCGGCACCGATTGGAGATCAAGAAGATCACTAGAGTTAATAAAAAAAAAAGTTGGTACTTTTATTACGACGGCAGAACAAATAAATATCAAAAATCTAGCCTGATATAACCTTTCATAATCGTCGCAAATATAAATGACATAAATAGGAAAATTAGATTAAATTGTGTCTGCAATCAAATCTTTTTTGAAAACGGACATAATAAAATAATCTTAAAAGAAGTGTTCGG